AGAGAGGGAAGTCTGAGTCCAGAACCAGAACCTGAACCAGAATCTGCTCACTCTTCATGTTTGTTGTTTTTCCATGAAGTCTGAAACCTTTTCTGACTCCAGATGTTCTCGTGTTTCAGGCGCCGTCGTTCAGTGGAAAGTCTGACTGAAGCTGGGCTGAGGTTCTGCTGCCGGGCCCGATCGGGTTTCAGGTTAAACTCCCGTTGGTCAGGGGTTTTCCCTACGGGGACAAAACAAGGACAGAGCCAAACGTTTCTTCGACCTGAGCCTGAATGTTCAGATGAACAGACTCAGCAGCTGTAATGAGTGTTTGAAGAAACGATTCTTCAGATTTTAACTTTTGTTCTTTGGTTTCAGGTTTTCACACAACATCTGGTCCTGGTTTAGGTTCTGATCCGTCTGCTCCGGTGTTCTGCTGTAATTAGCAGAACTGCTTCTGTTAAATTCTCTTATAAAGACTCTTTTGTTTTAGATTTAAGTTTCAGATTCTGTTTAACATGTTTGTTGTTGAACTCCACCCTCCTGCTGAGACAGTTTAAAATGTTTTTACCCTTTCAAAATAAAGTTCATACAAACAAACAAACTGTGCATCAACTGTTTAAGACAACACAACTGCACCTGAAGGCACCACAAGATAACACAGCTGCACCTGAAGGCACCACAAGACAACATAGCTGCACCTGAAGGCACCACAAGACAACATAGCTGCACCTGAAGGCAACACAAGACCACACAGCTGCACCTGAAGGCACCACAGCTGCACCTGAAGGCACCACAGCTACACCTGAAGGCACCACAGCTGAAGGCACCACAGCTGCACCTGAAGGCACCACACCTGCACCTGAAGGCACCACAGCTGAAGGCACCACAGCTACACCTGAAGGCACCACAGCTGCACCTGAAGGCACCACAGCTACACCTGAAGGCACCACAGCTACACCTGAAGGCAGCACAGCTACACCTGAAGGCAGCACAGCTACACCTGAAGGCACCACAGCTACACCTGAAGGCACCACAGCTGCACCTGAAGGCAGCACAGCTACACCTGAAGGCACCACAGCTGCACCTGAAGGCACCACAGCTGCACCTGAAGGCACCACAGCTGCACCTGAAGGCACCACAGCTGCACCTGAAGGCAGCACAGCTGCACCTGAAGGCAGCACAGCTGCACCTGAAGGCACCACAGGGTGAATTCCCAGCAGCTGACTCAGATCTCTGTTTCTCCTCTCTGCTCAGCTCCACCTCAGGTGGCTGACAGCTTCATTAACCTCAGGAAGTTGCTCAACCTGCGGTGTCACCTCCCACCCCTCCCACCATCACTCCCACCATCACTCCCACCATCACTCCCACCCGTCCATCCTCCTTCACTGACTCTGATCTCTCCTCTCATCTTGTTTTCCTCCATCT